CACTTTATTATGGCTACTGATAATAACTAGATTGTGTCTTGTTTTTGTTTATTCCTATATGCTTCTTAATTAGCTAAAAAAAGATAAATCTCATTCAGTCAATTAAAAAAATCTTAGCAAACGTTTCTGACAACAATTTGTTTCTTTTTACATGTCAGTAGGATAAACTAATGCACTTCTCTAAAATTAAACTTTATTTTTTATGTGCAAATTTTACTCCTCGATTCTTTACCCAGAAAAATTAAAATATATTTCAATATGAATATATTCCTGTTTCTTTTTTGCTATATTAGTCTGATTTTTTGTTGCTATTATACAACACTAATGAAAAACAACTTGGGGAGGAAAGGGCTCTACTTCCACCTGACAGCCCATATTGAGGAAAGCTGGGATGGGGAGAGATTGGGAGGTAGGAATAGAGTTGTTAGTGGGGCTCAAGGCAGGAACTGCAACATAGGCCATGGAGGATTGCTCATGAGCAGCTTCCATTGGGAAACAGAAACTCAGGGTTGGGGATTCAGTGAGCAGTCAGCCTCTCAGGTTATCACTGCCGCGTCCATGTAGAAAATTCAATAGGATGGCTTAAAATGATATCCCTAATGAATCATGAATTATTAATACAAATTACTGAGAGAGGACAAGAGAGCACATAGGCACTAGAGAAAGACACAGGGAGAAACAGTTAATAAGCACTTATCTTCTTATAATTCTAAGAATTACATGGACAGTACTTTTGTATTCAACTGATGACACTTCAACGATCTAGAGACTTAAACGCTTTGTTTTCAAGGTCAAATCAAATTGGAGGCAATCATTCTTCGTCCCACTTATAAGGCCTAGGTAACTTGTCTTGGTAAAGCTAGTACTAAAAACGTCTTCTCTTTTAGACAGGTAGTTAAAGTTCCATACAGAACTCATTTCTGACTGTCAAAACCAGAATTATTTGCAAGCTATAGATACATACAACCTTGTGGGCTGACACCCCACTTACCTGCTAAATCAGCTAAAGGATTATCTTGTCTTTTATGTGTGTTCAGGAGCAGAAAGCTATTTAAAATTCCTTCTGTAGAGAAATTCTATTAGCAGTATGCTCTTTCTTTGGCAGCCCTAAAAGCAAGTAGCCCAGTAATTTGCCATCATATTTTTAAGCTATTTTGGGTTACTATTTTAAAAGTCGGATGTACTCCATGAGAGGAAGAGATAGAGTACACCTCTCCCCTCATCCATACAGCACCATGTTTACCTGAGTCCTCTGTTTGCACTGTTGCCTCCAAACCTGACCATTTTCAGTGTAAGCCACTGTGTATTCTCATAGCAGCATGGAAATATGCAAGAGACTGGTGGGTGAAGCCACAGATAGGTAGATTGTACCTTTACCTGTCACTCTCTGTATGTTTGAATATGTAGAAATAAATAGACTAACCCTTCACACATGAGTTTTAATATGCCCAGAGGGAACAAGAAGAAAGAAAAAAGAGTCACTGTACCTTTAAAAATAGTCACAGGCATAGCACAACTGCAAGAAAAAAATTATTGAAGCATATCTCTGGTAATTTGAAGACGGATGCTGATAGTGAACCTCAACACATTCTGAATTGTAAAATGGAGGAAAATAAAGGGCCAAGGGAGACTGGCATTAATCATTACCACTTACTGGGTCCTAAATGTGCATCAGAACCGTAACCAGTGCTTTGCTTAAGAACAGGCTCCCATCTAAGAGAGTAAATGAACACATTTACTTGGTGTTCAGTAGAGGCTACTCTTACCCATTAAGTAACCTTAGAGTTAGGCTTTCTCTCTCTCTCTCTCTCTCTCTCTCTCTCTCTCTCTCTCTCCCCACCCCCGCACTTTTGCCTACTGTTTTCAATGAGAAACTGCCCCTTTGAGTTTTATCAATTTGTTCAAAATCCTATGCACCTGAAAATGTCAAATAAACAAACCAAGATAACCTAACTGAAGAGATGAAAATGGATAGTAACCTCCCCTCCCTGTGTTTGCCGCTCATTTTTAGCCTCCAGCTGAACCTAGTTAAGGTGGATACTGTTCCTCCTATTGTAAAGTTGGCAGCTAACTATAACTTAAAAGCTTACTTGAGAATCATGGATTAAGGTTGAAATTTCTTTAGACTGTTCAAGAATCATTGTGCTTTCCATAGTATTGTACTGCCTTTGAGACAGTATCTAAAATCACTTCTAAATTCATTTGTCATGTATTTAGCAAATATTTGTTGAGCATTTTTGGGCTCTAAGGACGTTCTATAAGAAAGGCACATTCTTATAGGTCACACTTTAACAGGGATAGATAGACAGTAGATAAATAGCTCCATGAGCCCACGTCCAATCTTAGTGTGCATAAAAAAGAAAACTAAAGCTTTGTAAATGGCTAGGAAATAATGGGATAAAGAAAGCGCAAGTTCCTTATGTAAGATGGTCACCACAAAGAAGCCTGCAGCCTTCAGTGGTCCTCTGGTGCTACTGTTGCTTTCTGTCACAAGTGTCCTGATTCTTATAGCACCTAAAGTTCAATCTGACTTTTATATCATTCTAGCTTCTAGAAGAATATGTTTGGCCCACTATTTCATTGTTGTTGTAATTTTGTGTTGGATTTACTTTATATATATTTACTATTCACACAGAGAGAGATGTAATACACACACATACATATATTACAATTAATAGTCTATGTGTTTGGGTCTCAAAGTGCCTTCACACCCATGGTTTTTATATACTATGAATGTGAAGGAGACTTTATGATAATTCATGTGATAAGCCCATTCCCTTCCAAACCTTGACAAATTGTTTGTTCCTAGCTTACCAAGCCTTTTGCTGACTTTGAACTCCTTCTCTACCCTATAGGTAGTCACTACCAAGCAATTGAAAGTCCTTCAAGACTTGAGGCTCATTTTGGTTCCTTCCCTAGGAACCTTCCATGCAACAACAAAAATAAGTTAATATGAGTACATAGGGCAGGCACTCATCCTTGGGAGATACACCCCAAGACCTGGAGTGAATGTGTGTGTGTGTGTGTGTGTGTGTGTGTGTGTGTGTATGCACTATATAGTATGTTGTCTCATATAACACACTCTGTGACTGTTAAATAATTATTTGAAGAAAAATCTAATTTTAGTCATGGTTTATCAAAAATACTCAGCTTACTAAGGTGAACATGTCTGCATATGTTAGGAGATGGTACCTTTAGTGCAGCTAACCGTACGTGTTCTCCTCATCATTGACATTTGAGGTGTGTATGGGTTATTCCACACCAGCTCATATAGTAATGATGTCAAGAACTAATGGAGTGACTTTAATTGAAGAGCACTTCTATTGCAAAGTGTATGAGGGTGAGATGTGTTAAATTTGTTTTTGCTTTTCTCTAAAAAGCTGCAAACCTCCTTCCCTATAGTAATTAAAGACAAACAGCAACCATTAACTTACCGTGGGGTTCTAATGGCCATAATATTGCTTTCTTGCATGGATGACTTACTGATCTAAAGCAAAGCAATTCAACACTGAAATTATCTTGAAAATTAAAAACCATCCAAGATAATGAATAGTTTCAATTTCTCTGGCACCAATTTATGTGTACTCTCCCCTTTTAATGCATTCTTCTGTGCATGCGCAGCTTGATCACTAACAGACTAGCCTCAGCGAGATTCCGTACCGCAGAACAGTACACCAGCCTCAGTTTCTGAACGTGCTGGCTTTCAGAGTGATTTTCATTCATTAATTTGCTCGTTCATTCAGCAAACCTTTATTGAGAAGCTTGTGTAAGTTATTGTTTTCCAGGGTGCTTTAGGAAATAAAGGAAATATAAAGTTATTTGCTCCCAAAAGAAGTATTTTTGTGAGCTTTGAATCAAATTTTATTTTAATTCTGTCTTTTATTTAGTTAATTGTTTTATAGCTTATAGCCCGGCGATGGTGGCGCACGCCTTTAATCCCAGCACTCGGGAGGCAGAGGCAGGCGGATCTCTGTGAGTTCGAGACCAGCCTGGTCTACAGAGCTAGTTCCGGGACAGGCTCCAAAGCCACAGAGAAACCCTGTCTCGAAAAAAAAAATGTTTTATAACTTATTTACCAACACTGTGTTGCTAGTTGTTTGGGTAAGTTACATTTGGGAATGGGAGCATTAAAGTGTGTGGACTGAGCGTCCCCTATAACAAACATTCGTCCTTATTTCTAATATTTCCTAGCAATTGATTTTTTAAGTAGAAGGCCAGCAGGCATGACCATAAAACATTGCCAGAGTAGATCCAAAAAAGAAATGGAAACAGAAAGTTGGAATCGTTTCCTACAACCACTAACAATGTGAGAGAATGTGCTCCTGCCCCTTCCTTTCCTGTGTTAAAAATATGAATAACTGCTGTATGTCATCTGTCATTGACAGTTCCTCTTTTGAATCTTAATTCTCATAAGTAAATTGAAACAGTTAATCACTAGCATAAATGCAAGAAGACAAATATATGTTCCTTTCATTGAGGCATGTTAAAGATTTTAAGTATGTATAGTGTGAATTAAATTAAGTAGCAAAACACTGTATTTGGTGTTTGGGCTTTGCCTTTAAGCAGGTTTTTTTTTTTTCTTATACAAAAGAAGAACTGTATTCCATGGTTATCCATAGAATATTTGACTACAGTTATTTTATTGATTTTCTTCATTTTGGGTACATGTAGAAATTATCTATTTATGAATCTATACAGTAAGTCATTATTAAGGTCAAGATGACCTTAGTCAATGGACTCTACAGCTGATGTATTGTTTGTCTGGTCTGTTTAAAAACTTAACTTTGCCCATTTTGTTTCCCAAAGCCACACTTGTTATTCATGGTTCCCACAGACAGTTTAGAAGCTGAACCACAGCTTACTTTAGGGGAACCTGGGTGTGATTTCTAGGTCAGTCACTCTTCTCTTTCTAATAGCTGTTCTTTCCTTCCTAATTCTGCATCTAGGTTGTAAAGTTCCCTTCCTGCTCATATCTCATTGGTCTCACTGTTTGTTTTCAGAACCATTGGACACAAAAACCGTTTGGTCAAAGTTCCCCGTGGTCACATGTGGGTTGAAGGCGATCACCATGGACACAGTTTTGATAGCAATTCTTTTGGACCGGTGAGTCAGCTTGTACCTTGTTTCTGAGAAAGTTGCCTTTCAAAGGTGGGGAGCCGAGTGTAGCCTAATAGTTCACTCTGTTCTGTCAGCCAAGACTGATCAAAGACTTCGTAATGAAACTGTTCATGTTGGGGAAATTCCTTTAGGCTATCAAAGTGTGTATCTGTGTGTTTGTGTGTTTCACAAGAGTCTGACTTTCCAGTTGGAAGATCTCCATTCCCTCACAGATAGGTCTTCTGTCTGTTTTCAATTAATGTTTAACCAGTAAACTATGTAAGAAGACATACAGGCAACAATTTACCTTTATTCAACGCAAAAGTAGTAGAAACCCTAGCAGTTAGTGTCGAGGAGGTGGGTTTCCTTGCTTCCTTTTTTGGTCCCATCTTCGTCTCACAATGAAATTGATGTCAAACAGATTATCAGAATAATGTATCCAAATTTAATAAGTTTTAGATGTTGCAAACGTCCTTATAGAGAAGCAAAGACCTTTAAACCTTGTGAAACTCACCTACCTTTGTATTCGGTTGAACAAAGACATGTAATTTTAGACAAGTAACTAAATGATGTGGAGAGGCTAAGAGAAGATAAAAATTATTTGCACAAGTCAAGCTTTCTCAGCTATGGCTCTATTGAAGAATGTTTCTTGTCTCCAACTAGAGGGAGGACAGCTTTTGCTTGGGAGTTTTAATCCTCTGTGTTCAAGGATAAGGGAGGAGATTAGTGTGCCCACCTCATGTCTGTTGTTTTTCAGATACCCTTAGCTCAAAGTAATCCTGTGTCAGAGTGGCATGCTTGGGGGTGGCACATTCTGGGAGTGTTCATAAGTGACATTTTGTTAGCATTTAACTTATAGCAGAAACACAGACACGCTCTATTCTCTGCTTACCCATAGAATGTGACTACACTGATATTTTATGGATTTTTCTTTTACTTTGAGTGCATATAGAAATTCTCTATTTATGAGTCTTCTTCATAACTCATGAAAGTGGAGAATTTCTTAGTGAGTGGAAACTGCAACTGATTTTCTTGTTTGTTTAAAAGCCTTAGTTTCCCAAAGTTACATTTGTTATAAATGTACAGGACAAAGGAATTATTTAGCATCCTCACACATGCTTGTGTAAAACATATAGACTCATATTTTGTCAAAAATTAATAGGTTGTGGCCTCTAATAAAAGAGCTTCATATATATGTGTGTGTGTATATACACACACACATATATATATATATATATATATATATGTATATTTTGAGGAGCCCATGTTATTGCCACAAAATATGCTGTCACTTGGACTTAACTTTGGTGAAAAGCGTAAGAACTAGATTTGAATAAATATGTGGGATTGTGGAAGAAATTTTAACACACCATTCCTTTTTCTCTCTAGTCATACTAATGATGATTTTTATAAAATCTCAAGGCCTATAATTGCCTATGAGTAGTAATTATATAAAAATATTACTTAACCTAAATTCTACCAAAGATGAAAGAAAGGTTGGAAATGTTTTGTGCTTCTTATAATGCAGGAAAATTAGTGAGGAACTCAAGTAGTGACTTAAAAGAAAACAAATCACTTGAATATAGGTCTATTTCTTTGACCAATAAGAGTGCATGTGCCACATTGTTGGTCAAGTCCATAATAAATGGTATTTAACTTCTGTGACTTCATTATTTTAATGATATCGAAATGAAGTAATAATTGTGTTGTTTTCTATCAGGTGTATGTTAAGTTACTGATAATAAAGTCTGAACGTTTGGGGGATTTGGTATTTTGTTGATTTTAAACTGAAGCTGGTCAAATGCTGATAATGTAATTATTATGACTGCCAATCAGTTGCTTTCTCTTTGCTTTCTTGCCGGAGAAAGAAAAGGAGGGCTGGAAGGATTACTTGTGGGCAAAGGCTTGTTATGTATGTGCAATTGATGCACAGAACTCATATAAAATGCACGGCATGGTGGAAAGTACCTCTACTCCCAGCCCTGAAAAGGAGGACACAAGAGGATGAGACTCACTGGCCAGCAAGTCTGTGCTAATGCAGAGCTCCAAATTCAGTAAGGGACTCTGGCTCAAAACTATAATCTGTACAGGGCTTGAAGAAGACATTGGGTGTCAACTGCTGCTCCTGCCCCAAGTCCACATACATATACACATGCACAAACCAAGGCATACATACATATTAACAAGTATGCACTCGTGACTGTGCATATACACACAAATTTTTAGAAATAGAAAAGACAATAATAAAATGGGGAGTTGGATGCTGGGAATTTCATAGTGTCTGAAATGTGTTCTGTGATTGTTCAGCTCTTGTGGCTCCATTTTCTGCCCTGTTTCGAATCACTGAACTGTGACGATAAAGACACCCACAAAACAATAACCAACGTGGAAGTGTCCTTTTTGTAAAATGGAAGAGAAGAACTACCTGTGAGAGGTGATCTCACTGCAATTATTACAATGAGAAATTACAGCACCTAAAGCTTTGGCAAACATGTATGCATCTCTGAAGGCCATTTGATTTACACTAATGTTTTAGGTAAACATGTATGTATCTCTGAAGGCCATTTGATTTACACTAATGTTTTAGGTAAACATGTATGCATTTCTGAAGGCCATTTGATTTACACTAATGTTTTAGGTGAAATCTATTTGTTAATTATAGTACAATCAATAATTTAAGTAAAAACAAAATTATTTTGAAATCTAGTAGTCCTCCTTTTTATGAAGGAAAAATATTTATTCAAGCCTACTTTTAATTTATGAGTTAAATAAAGCTGTTAATTTCCATTCAGGAAACTAATATTATTTCTGTTTTCCAAAATTAAATGAAATACCTTTTCTAGAATTAAAAAAAAAATCAAAAATCAATCCCTCACATCATAGACTAAACTATTTGTGCTCACATGAGTTTTAATAGCTGTGTGTTTGCTTTTAGGATGTGCTCTTTGCTTCTGCTCCAATAGCATCTTCCACTGGGAAAACTTCTGAGTTCCCCAAACAAAGCAAAACAAAAAGCATCAAACAATCCAATACATTCCTTATAAGTTTAAGCTATGATTTTTGAGCACAGAATTTTATTTTATTTGACTATTTGGCTGGCTGTTCAGAGTATTTATGTATCCCTGAACACACAGTCCTCCTGCTTTGACTTCCCCAGGGCTGGGATTCCAGGTGCACAGCACCACAACTGAACCGAGTGTGGAGATTCTGAACATGTTTTCTATTAACTGTTGATTAAATGATTCATCTGTTAATCATTTTAACTTTTTTTTATTCCAAGCATTGAATTCTAACTATTCTCTTAAACTAGAGTCTTGAGAATTACATTTTCTGTGAACTTCTCAGTGGAGAGGTTGCTTTCCTGCCAGTGTATTTAAAGATTGTGCAGGGCAGGTGAGCGAAATCATGTTTCACGTGCATTCCTGATTCAGCCTTCCCATCGAATAGGTAGTGGGCTCTGCTTGACACTGGCAGCTCACCTGAGGGAGTCGGGGTTTTCTGGGATACTTCCCTCCTGCGTACAACGAACCAAACTTTGTATTTGGCTCCCACTCAGCTTCACAGTGGATGTCACTGCTTCTCACATATGTCCCGTCTTTGGACAGTAATCAGCCTTGTTCTAGAATCTTCTTGGTTTGTTTCCTTTGTAGACAGTAGGTTAACTGACTACTGTAAGTGCGGTTAGATGGCTATCACTGGAGTCTAGTTATGCCAGTTTAAAGCTCCCCCTGTGCTCAAGTAAACATTCAGGTGGAATCCACCAAAGAAGATTCAAGACAACAAATGTCTCATCCTGATATCTTTGGGTTTTGCTGTTTTATGACTTCCTGTGTACTTCTTATTACTGTCATTTGCATCTTTGACTTGTTTTGCTGAAACTGTGTAGGCTAAAAATAGAATTGACTGATATTATGAATGAAAGGTTAATAATGGCTTATTAATATAGTATATTAACAATAAGCTGCAGCAATCAAGTAATTCACAACAGGAAGAGAAATTGTAGATAACTTCTAGTCCAACATCCATATTCAGTTTCTTGAGGAAGATGTCACTGAAAGAAACTAGAACACTCTTGTGCAAAACAGGCCACAAAATCAAGCAAGAGTAGATGGTTTTGGTAATGAACTCTCAGTTCCCCAACTGTACAAATTTATATCTTCACATGATTAAGAAGAAAAGACCCCTTCTCTAAATCAATTGTAAATAAGTGATTGGTAAAATGAGCATATTCACACAAAATAAAAATTTAATAAATGACCTGAGCAAATTAGCATGGAATTTTAATTAAATAACATGATTTAGCCATGGGGTAAATTTTATGCTCATGAAAGTATGCTTATACACAGTTTTGATGGTATAATCACTGTAATATTGAATGAATACATCAAAACAAGGAGGTGACAATACAGCGTTTTATGTCTCCAGTGTTAGACCAGTGTTTGATTCTTCTTATGCCATTGTAACTGCCCACATTTTAATGTTGTTGAAAGAATTTTACGACCTTTATAATTATAAGCATCTATTTTGTTTCAAAGCTAGTTTAAAGATGATTGAAAGTAAATGGCATGTAAAGCCAAATCTCTCTTCATTCTATAAAAATGCTTTTCAATACTGTGACCAGATGGAAAAATATCAGATGTGCTTGGGTGTGAAAACTTTTGATTATGGGTAACAGTATCCCTACGAAATATCTTTATGCTAAACCTTTTGGGTAATTTACACAATAATAGAAAATATCTTCTTACATACGATCTCCAATTTATTGCTTCAGCATGGATTCCTAGTGTGAGAAATAACTTTCATAAGTTTCTTTTAAAATTATGATAATTGGGAAAATTCAGAGTATACAGCTACTTGATTTTATTGAATTTTGTTAAAATGGTATCAGAGGTAGGTTTAGGATTACTTGGACTATTTTCTAGGCATTTCTCATAGGAACTCTTCTGCTCTGACAATGAAATTAGGATTTTCCCCTGGCCACCCCTACTGTTAGATGACATTTTCTG